TTAGAGTAAGTCAATAAACTCTTTGTGATTTAAATGGCATGCTAACAAGAAACTCTGGTCTCTCCCCACAGCAAGCTATAGTCACATGCCATAGTTTATTCTTGGTTTATGACTCTTGCTTGTTGGCAGATGAACAAATCAGAGTTCCTAGTTCATGAGTCAAAAAACAGAATTATGGAGAAAGCCTCTGTATTTTGTTTAGATAATCCTGCTTGTTGTGGAAGCAGCTGGACAGCAAGCAGAAGTATGCTAACAACGAAGATAAACCTCTTGAAGCCCACATTATTGTTCTTTGCAAATGAGGCATATGTGTAATAGATGTATCAAAGCCAACATTTTATTGAAATTCTATATTTACTATAAAACTATGAAATGTCTAAAGATTTTTACCTAATCAATAACTGACAACTAACTGGTGTGTCTTTTGCTCACATAAGCAGCAACCTCAAGACAGACGTTACCAGCCAATGCATACTGCCACTCCTCAGGTCAGGCAACAACAACCTCAAGCCATCAGACAGATCTTTCGTATGCAGCAACAAAAGGGTAAGCACTACTCTTAATCATCACCACTATACTATCCATACGAGACTTTCCCCATTCCTATCAGAATGTGCCGGATAACGACTGACAAATGGGTCCTCTCAATCATTGCGAACGACTACCTTATTAAATTCTTTAGAATTTCACCACCGAATTCTACACCTTGTTTTCACAAGCATTACAAGAGGAAATATCATCCCTCCTCCAAAAGTGTGCTATAGTCGGAGTCCCACCATCTGACATAAATGAGGGGTTCTACTCCCGTTATTTCATGGTACCTAAAAAAGATGGAGGTCTTTGACCTATCCTGGATCTGAGACAACTTAAGAAATGTATACATCATAGAAAGCTCCATACAGTGGGACCTCGCTAGACAGTTACCCCGCATGACAGTTTTTTCACTAGACACTGACTTTTTGCAATCTCTATAGCGATTTGCAAAACAGTGATTCCTATGGGGGAATTTTGCTGGACAGTGTTTGGTCCCTGCTTCGCAAACCGATTTTGAAGATTTCTGTGATTCTTTGGATTTGATAGGTATCAACGTCGTGCTAGTCATAGACTGGGTAGCCGGATAAGCTGTAGTCTTGGCTGTTTCTGGCCGTGGCGGGTTAGACGAAGGGGGGGGTTCCCCACTTCCATAGTTGGATTTAGAATCTTTTTGGACAAAAAAGATCTTAGGCGTTGAAGCCTCAGTATAATAGCTGGTTTAGAGAAGCTTTTACGAGCAGGACACGACTGAGTTTGGTGGGATTCTCCCAAACAAAACAGCCATTTGTCATGTCCATCAGTTAGAGGGATTTTCTGGAGGCAAACGGAACACCTCCTGAATCCCCAAGGGGCCATAAAACGGTGGAGGAATAGAGGAAAAGTCCCAGGGGGAAAAAGGGGGGAAGGTGGGAAGCGGGAGGGGGGGAAACGATGTTGTATTCAAGAAGAAAGGGTTCTAATCACTAAGGGAATAACTAAAAATGATTCTAACAAGAAATAACTAGAAGAGAAATACTAATTAAGATGAAAAACGTTCGTATTTACTTTCCTTATAAGAGCTCTAGTGTTTCTGATGTCCTAACCAAACGGAGAACAAAAGGAACTGAAAGGAAGGTTGAGGAGGCACAGCTTGCGCCTTGGGGGGTATCTTAACTGTTGCTCTTTTTTAAGCTCTAGAAATTTCTGAGACGTCCTGCGCAGGCGCAGAAGTAACCCATTTGTGTGCATTCACAGAGGCCGCTACGAAGAACTGCTGGTTCTGCCTCTGCCAGCACTGCTTCTGGGTTGAGATAAACCTGGTGGGTTGGTGCTCGGCTGGGCACCTGTGCTCTCATTGTGGGGGCCCAGATGAGGCAACAACTGGCATTCCTCTTCTGTATCTTTTATCCAAGGTGAAGCAAACCATTTGCCAGTCCATGGGAGTAACAGTGGCTGGTCTTCAGCAAGTGAGCGGAAAACTGGAGAGTGTTCCTCTGAGGCCTCAGCCCCCAGTTCCTGATGCTTGTCAAGGATAGAAAGTCCTTCCCCTCCTCCTCTCCCCTGGAATCTGACTCTGCCATCCTATCCCAGGTCCACCTCATCTTCCAAGAATGGCTCATCAATTTTTGGATTCCCATCTGGGGCCTGCTCCTGCCTTCCATGCCCTCCAGGCCGCCCTGCCACTGTGGTCTTCAAGAAATCCAGAGGGCCTTCAGATGGTCTGCTGGTGACCACTAGAGTGTCCCACTCACAACCAGTTTCTGAAGAACATTGAAAGAACTATGCTGGTAATACCACTGTTTGGACAGAAATATGTATTTGTTTCACAGAAATAGTTGCCATTCTGTGCTAAAAATTAAGTCATTTGCAAGAAGCCATGTAAGTCACAAAGAAAAAAGTCTTACCTTGCATACATACAAACTCTTGATGTGCCTAATACAGTCTTTGAATCATGGCTTATACACTGTAATTTCAACCATATCTTAAGACTTACACTATGGATACTAGTGTATCCATATTAGAAACCCAGTTTCAGGTTGTCCCAGAACATCCATCAAGCACTACTTATTTCTGTGTGTCATCCAGCCTTTCTATTTGGCATTTAAATAGCAATCTGAAGCACTTATATTTGGAAATGAATGTACTCACTAACTATTTTAGTTTTCACCTTTTAAGTGACAAGCTGATGTGCATTTTGATTGGTCTCACCTTTTGCCTTTAACTGTTCCAAGTATTCTCTATCCACATCTACTTGGGCAGAAATAAACACTTGGTGTGACAAAGAAGGGACATGGTGACGCTGTGGGTTAAACCGCAGAAACCTCTGTGCCGCAAGGTCAGAAAACCTGCAGTCGTAAGATCGAATCCATGCAACAGAGTGAGCTCCCATCGCTTGTCCCAGCTCCTGCCAACCTAGCAGTTCGAAAGCATGCAAATGCAAGTAGATAAAAAGGTACCACCACAGTGGGAAGCTAACAGCATTCCATGTCTAGTCGCGCTGGCCATGGAAACTGTCTTCGGAGAAACGCTCGCTCTATGGCTTGGAAACAGGGATGAGCACCCCCCCCTGGAGTCGGACACGACTGGACATTTGTCAAGGGGAACTTTTACCTTTTTATGACAAAGAAAGGGAAGGCAAACAGAAACACCCACAACAGAATGTAATGAGAAAGAGGAAGCTTTTATCTCCTGAGGCTAAAGATGTAGAAGCTACAGGAGAAAGAACTGTGGTATAATTATATAGGACCCTTTGCCAAACATATATTCAGCAATTGCTGGTCTTATCAGACAGAGTGGACAAAAATAAACAATTTTCTTAATAAATTTTAAAACTTTCATCTACAAGTCTAATTGATAGCAGACTATTAATACCTAATAGAATCTAATTAGGTTGTCACTTAACTTTGAAATTCAGAGTTTCAGTGTTATTCCAACTTGGAGAGGAAAGAAACCCCTACAATGCATATATATACTGATACAATGTCCAAACAATTATCTGGAAACTGGCATCTGTGGTGGCACATGTTCAAATATACATCCAGTAGTAGCACCTTCAGTATACTCATTCTTGGTTTAAAAGGGTAACTGAATTTTATATGAACAAAACCTGGAAATCTATGTTTATCTCATTGAACTGAATATGATCATCTAACAAACACCAAGTTGGAAGGTTCCATTTTCATATAAAATAAATTATATTAGAAAATATTTTTACTTACAAAATTATACATGGATATCACAACAGTCATGCAATTTATTATTGCCAACTACATACCAAATTCCAACACAGGAGAGGCACTAGATATAACTGCTTATTTTTGAAGAAAACCATTTCCATCAGATTCACCACGTGAGTGGGGTTGGGTGAGCACTTAAGATTGAGCAGTAGCACATAGATGGATATGCAGGTGACTAATTAGCCTAATATGAACATGGAAGATACAGAAACAGTGGGAACAGGATAGCTGATTCTCAGTTTGTAGGGCTGTTGAGATGTTGCATCCTTAATTTCTCATTTCTCTATTCCTTTGCACATCCTTGATTCTTTTTATTTCAAATTCTTTAGCCCCCTGTTTGTTAGTACTGTATTTCACCAGACAGTTTGGTCTTGAGTGGGAACTTCCCAATTGACATGGTCAAAATTAAATACTTTCAATGTTATCTTTAATGTATATTTGAATAATTTCTTTTGTCTACCAAACTTGCAACAACCTCTCTATGGAAGATATATTTTGTGACACAGTTTGACATTCTGATGACATGGGCAGACCACTGATGTTGAGATAGTTTTGAGGCTTTAAAAATGCTTGTCATCTGTATTTGATCCAAGATTTCAATGTTGAGGAGTTTATTCTTCCACTGATATTAAGAATTCTCCAAAGACAGGTAGGATTATTACAAAGACAAACCTGTATTTCACAAGGATCATCCACCTAGCCATCTGAATCTCCCCCCCCCCCAAATTGCTTCAGCTTCAAACCTCTGAAACCAAGCAGCATGGAGCTTCCATCTCCTAAGTGAACATGACTTTGTCCAGCATCTATCTGCTCCTGGAAAGTTAGAAATATGTCTTGCAGGCCCTCCCAATGCATGTTTACTCATAAGTAAATCCAACTATGTTCCATTATTTAAAGCAGCCATTCTCAGCCTTTCTTTGGACATACCCATGAACAAATACGAAGAAATACAGACCAAATCAGGATTGTATAAGTTGCACTATGAACCTTGCACAGTGATGTGTGAGGAACTGTTTCCAGTCTGTGGCCCCATTCAAATGTGCCAGGGCCCCCCTTGGGGACATATGGGCCCCACAGAGAATGGCTGCTTTAAAGTATACATAGGACAATAGCCTTCAAGTAAAATGATTTACTCAGAATTCTTTCAAGTAACATATAAAACACTACAGAACTGAATAAACAGTAAAGCAGGTTATTAAAAGCAATATAAGCAACAGTAAGATTTATTTCTATTTAATGGAAAGTACTTACCTGTAATAAACCTCCTTCATCAAAGCGCAGTACTTCTATTATGCTATCTGATTGGATAAAAGCTGAAAAACAAGAGAGGCACAAATGAAAATTCTTGTTCAAATCAATGCAATGTGCTCAGTACCATTTCCCTGAAAATAAGACCTAACCTGAAAATAAGCCCTAGTATGATTTTTAGGATGCTCGTAATATAAGCCCTACCCCAAAAATAAGCCCCAGTTAAGTGAAACCCTGCCCTCCACCATTGTGCAGCAACCAGATGATGATATGAGTGTACAGTGGTGCCTCGACTTACAGACGTCCCTACTTACAAACATTTCAAGTTACGGAAAGCTCCGGTCACAAAATTTTGGTTCGACTTGCGGCCGGAGCTTCCACTTACGAAAGGAAAAAGGCAGGGGGAAAGGGCAGGAAATTTAAATTTACCAACTGTTGGTGGCGAAGAGGCTGCTTCTTTGTAGCTCTTTTGCCCCAACGGTTAGGGAAAGGGATGCAGTGGGGATGGCCCACAGCCAGGAGGCTTGACCCTCCTGGGTGCTCTGGCAGGGGCGGCGGGCGTGACCCAGAGCCTCCTGGGGGCTCTGGTGGCAGCAGTGGGGGCGGCAGAGGCAGCGGTCACCCAGTGCCGGGAGGCTTGAGCTGGCTGGGGTGCTTCAGCCTCTCACCCCTGGCCATGGCGGAGGCAGTGGTCACCCAGCACTGGGAGGTTTGAGCTGGCCAGGGTACTTTGGCCACTTGCCTCCTAGCTTGCCTCCTGCTCACTCCTCGCCACCGTCCACCATTTGAATTTCCCGCCATGGGCTCATGGAGGGTGGCATGGAGCAAGTGGGAGGCAAGCTGGGAGGCAAGTGGCCAAAGTACCCTGGCCAGCTCAAACCTCCCAGTGCTGGGTGACCCCTGCCTCCGCCATGGCCAGGGGTGAGAGGCTGAAGCCCCCCAGCCAGCTCAAGCCTCCCGGCACTGGGTGACCGCTGCCTCCACTGCGGCCAGGGGCAGAGCGACCGAAGCACCCCGGCTAGGCTCAACCCTCTGGACGGCGGTGGTTGCAGCAGTGGTGGAGCCAGGGCCGGGAAGAAGCAGAGGAGGTAAGGTGCTGCTTTTAACTTTTTACTGTTTTGGGTGGCTTTTGCAGGGTGGGATTGGCTGGTGGGGTTATGCTTAGGGTTATTTTTAGATTTTTTTTGTTTTGTTTTTTTAGGTCCAGGGGCTTGCAGTGTTTTATTTTTATTTTGGGGGGGTATTTTTTTCTTTGGCCGGAATAGATTAATCCATTTTCAATGCATTCCTATGGGAAATGGTGCTTCGACTTATGGAAACTTCGACCTATGGCCGCCGTTCCAATATGGATTAATTCCATAAGTCGAGGCACCACTGTATTTGAATAAATATAGATTGTTGTCCATGAAAAAAAATAAATCATCCCCTGAAAATAAGCCCTAATGGATTTTGGAGCGAAAAATAATATAAGACCCTACCTTATTTTCCAAGGAAACACGGTATCTGTGATGCTGCTGTTTTACCTCACTCCTACCTCTCCACATTTAAAATCAGAATTTAAGACCTTAATATTACATTAACATCATAAATCAGTCCTGCAGACTCAAGCAAAAAGTCTACCTAATTCAGTCAACTGAGGCCAGATGGAAGCTTGTTAACAAGACTTGACCAAATATCATCATCATCATCATCTCAGAACTGCAGAGCTGAAAGCGGACCCTATAATCAAAGTCAGTCCCTGTCAGGGAAGCACAGTGGGGAATCAAACTTCCAACCTCTTGCTCCAATGCTAGATACTTAAACCACTGAGTGATCCAATACAATGCTTTATTTGAATTGTACAGATAATCATCAAAATTCTGGAGTGTAGTTATGATGGTGAAAAGGCAATGATTGTAACTCATGAACATACAAGTTCCTCATTGCAAACCAGGCAAACAGCTTCCTGTATGACCAGGAATTCAACTGGAGATTCTTCCATCAGCAGCAATTTGTTGCTACAAAGCACATCAGAGTAATTATGCAAAATGATTTTAGCCACTGTAAGCAACCTCAAGTGAAAACTCTTGTCTCAAGAGCAGGAAAATATATGAAGTGAAATGTAAGTTCTCCAAAAGTTAAGCAGTAGTTGTGTCCCTGTCTCATGGCTTTCAGCTGTGGCTACAACAGAAGAGAATGTGCTCCCAAAGTTGTGAAAAAGGCTCCATGGCTTGCATCCTGACATTGCCTTGGTAATGCTTCCAGGCACTGACAGGGTCATTATGTAGCACCTCTTACCAATACTTCTGGAATTCAAAGATGAAAGCAGAGCCAGTGTTGACCTCTAATGACGTAACATATAGCCCACCCCAGTGCTACAGTGGGATCTCTACTTAAGAACTTAATCCGTATTGGAAGGTGGTTCTCAAGTTGAAAAGTTCTTATGCTGAATCTGCATTTCCCATAGGAATGCATTGAAAACCATTTAATCTGTATCTGCTCTTTTCCGTCCATAGAAACTACAGTATCCAGATGCATTGGAACTAAAACTCCCAAATCTCATAGCCAGTTTTGGACTATTTAATTATTTGATCAAGTTGACACGTCTAAGAGAGATAAGGATTGTCTCCGTTTTAATAAAAATATGAAAATGTCTCTAAAATTGATTTTGTAAGCCGCCCAGAGTAGACGCTGCCTAGCGGGGCAGCGTATAAATCGAATGAATAAATAAAATAAAATAAATAAAACAACTTAGTTATGGACTAGTTTACATAATGTTAAGCCATATGACTACAATTAATGGACAATGCCACTGTAAAATTATGTTTACCTGTAGTAGGCATCCTTCAGTCTCAAGAGACTATGGTAACATGCTCTGAACAGAGGACTTGGAACAGTATCTAGTGTGGCTGAGAAGGCCAATTCGAGAGTGACAATCTTTTCCACACTGAAGACAAATACTATATGTCCCCTGTTGAGCTCCCTGATTTTGTTGGGCCTTGGCCTGCTGGACAAGGGTCTCTTCAAATTTAGAGAGGCCATGCTGCACCACCTGTCACCAGGCTGAACACTCAGATGTCAAGGTTTCCCATCTGTTGAGGTCCATTCCCAAGGCCTTCAGATCCCGCTTCCAGATATCCTTGAACTGCAGTTGTGGTCTCCCTCTGGGGCAATTTCCCTGCACTAATTCCCCATACAGGAGAGATTTTGGAATCCAACCATCAGCCATTCTCACGACATGCCCGAGCCAAAAAATTCCAGCTTGTTCTAGGACTACTGTATTTGGAACTTTGTCCTGCCAGGTGATGCCAAAAATGTGTCAGAGACAGCACATATGGAACACGTTCAGCTTCGTCTCGTGCCATGCACAAAAGGTCCAGGACTCACTGCAGTACAGGAGTGTGCTCAGGACACAAGTTCTATAGACCTGGATCTTGGTATATGTCGTCAGCT